ATTTTAATTCTGGTATTTTAGAGTCATAACCCCATTCACCTTTAACTTTACAGTGTTTCAGATATCATATGATGTGTTGTATTTATTAAGTAAATTTTGCTTTATTCTAGTCTCTTCTCCTAATGCTTTAATATCTATTTTGTTTAAAGTAGGGTGCCACAAATAAGACAAGCATTCCAAAGAGAAGCTGAATTACAGCAGAGAGAAGTAGAATGACTACTATCCAGCTCTTTCCATTTTTACCTCTTTTCTGTGTTTTGAGGTAGTATTTTGAGATCTTCCTCACAGAATACATTTGAGGTACTATACAGAGATTTCCCCCCTACCTGTAGAAATAGTTTCGTCATCTTTCTGTTTTTGGAACTTTCTCTCAGGGTTGGCCTTATTCTCTCTCACACAACCTATATTTGTGTTTTGCTATTCCTCATTCTAATTTAGAAACCTTTGCATTGTCCTTAATTGAGCTTCATGTAGTTTGTAGGACCCTCCTCTATGCCCTCTACCTCCAGGTCATTTGAAATGTACTCCTGACTTACATACTATTCACATCTCAGCCAAATTTAATAATATCTGTACATTTGGGCATGTTTTAATTCCTTTATCTCAGTCATCAGTAAAGATTTTCATTAGTTTGAATCCTACCACTCCTGCATGGTAAAATACGTAACATCTCCTACAGGTTTATTTAAAGCTATTGATAACTGCATTTTAGATACATAACTCTCAATCTGTCTGGCTCCCCACCTTAGATTTTCACACTCTACCTAGGCAAATTACTTTGTTTTTTGTACAATTTGGAATTCACTTAATATATTCTGAATAGAATACTCTGATATAATTTTTAAAATATTAATAAACACCCTCCTTGTGTGAATACCGGGCTAGTGAATCTAGTGGTAAGAACGTTGGCTATAAAGACAGGTCGACCTAGAATAAAGTCTTGGCACCACCATTTGCTTATTGTGAGAACTTGGTTAAATTATGTAATCTCTTAGCCTTCTTTTACTGTTTATGTAAGACGGACAATAATATTTCACAAGGTTGATGTGAGAAGCAAATAAGGATAGCACATGTAAAATGTAAAGTCCAGTATCTGGTACTTGCTAGGCTCAGTAGGTTTTTGTTCCTTTCTCTCTTTTCAGGGTCTAGCTCAAATCTTATCATGTCTGTGAAGCTACTCCCAACTATTTTACTCCCTTCCCTAAATGATTCTTTAATTAATTTTTATTTTATCCAAGTAATACATTTTTAAAAAGATAAAAATCTAGATATTGCTAAAAGACTTTAACAAAACCCGAAAGCAGTACTCTTCTCTAACCCTTTTTTGCTACTCTACTGTGTAATTTTACTCCCCAAAAGCAAACTTTTTTTAAAAAACAGCTTTACTGAGGTATAATTGACATACAAGAGACTGCACCTATTTAAAGTATACAAATTATTTTGACATAGGTATACACCATTACCAGTCATGACAGTGAACATATCTATCACCTCCAAGTTTTATTGTACTTCTCTGTAAGTCCTCCTTCTGCATCAGACTGTCCCCTCACCCCCCATCTCTTCCCCAGCAACCATTGATCTGCTTTCCATCACTATAGATTAGTTTGCATTCTCAAGGTTTTTATATGGACTGTTTTAGTCCGTTACTGCTAATTCTAACATCTGTGTCAGTTCTGGGTTGGTTTCAACTGATTATTTTCCTCATGGGTCATGTTTCTTGCTTCTTAGTATGCCTGGTAATCTTTGATTGGAACCAGACATTGTCCTTTTTACCTTGTTAAGTGTCGGATAATTTTTGTATTACCATAAATAGTCTTGAATTTTGTTCTGGGATTCGATTAAGTTACTTGGAAGTAGTTTGATCCTTTTTGCTTTTATGATTTGTTAGCTACATTTTGAACAGGGCTCAGTCTAGGACTAATTTTTCCCTATTACTGAGGCAAGGTCTTCTTGATTACTTTATCCAATGCCTAGTGAAATATGAATTTTACTATTCCGGCTTGTGGGAATAGGCACTGTTTCTGGTCATGTGAGAGTACCAGGTGCTCTTCCCTCTAATCTTTTCACATGGTTCTTTCCTGGCTTTGGGTAGTTTCCTCATATGCAGATGCTGATCAGTCTTTTGCTGAATAGTTAAGGGTCCCTTTATAGATTTCCAGGGTTCTTTCTCTCTAAAGCTCTCTCTCATATACTCTCTCCTGTGAAATCTTGTCACCTTGGTCTTCCTGAACTCTAAGCTCTGTTTCCTCAACTCAGAGAGTCTGCCAGACTTACCCTGGGTACTCCCTCCCTATGCTGTGGCCTGAGATTTTCCTGAATACTCCAGGCAGTAAGCTGGGGCAATCATAGGGGTCATCATTTGTTTCTTGTTTTCTCAGGGATCATTCCTTCATTGCTTGATGTCTATTGTCTTTAAAACCATTGTTTCATATATTTTGTCTCTCTCTCTCTCTCTCTCTCTCTCTCTCCCCCTCCCTCCCCCCTTTTTATTGGAGCTGGGGGGGCAAATCTGGTGCCTATTTCTTCATCTTGTGTGGAAGCAGAAGTCCAGCAATAACTTTTTACCACTTAGCTATTTTTTTCTAGAATTTGGCTCCAGATTTCCAAATAACTTGCTTACAGTGCTATTTCTGGATCTGTAAATTGAAGTTACTGTCTGCTGTCCCCCAGTTATGATTGTTGAGGATTTGCTTTCTTATACCATTTCCTCTTTTCCCTACGTTTTCTTGATAAATTCAGAGCATAATTTTTTTTATTAAGAAGTAGTTAGGATGTAACATTAATAATATCAATATGGCTGTGTAAATAATGTTCTCTGCTAGGCCAAATAGTGTACTCTGGGGTAACATTTCTTTTTCTGTAGACTTTTTTGTTATTCCTTGTGGTTAATAATTACATCGTGGTAGCCACTGGAAAAAAGATGAAGAGATATTCACACCGCTCAGCAGTAAAAACTCCAAATGAGATTAAATTTAAATTTTTTAAAAAGTGATACCAGGGTTGGGCATGGTGGCTAATGCCTATAATCCTAGCACTTCGGGAGGCTGAGGTGGGAGGATTACTTCAGCCCAGGAGTTCAAGACTAGCCTGGGCAACATAGCAAGACCTCATCTATTCAAGAAAAAAAAAAAATTAGCCGGGTATGGTGGCATGTGTCTGTAGTCTATCTACTCAGGAGGCTGAGGCAGGAGGGTTGCTTGAGCCCAGGAGTTTAAGGTTGCAGTGAACTACGATCGTGCCATGGCACTCCAGCCTAGGTGACAGAGCAAGACCCTGTCTCAAAAAAATAAAAAGTGAAACATAACGCATTGAAAGAAAATATGGGTAAATTCCTCTATAACCTTGGAGTGGGGAAGGCCTTTCTAAAACCGTGACTAAAAATCTAGAAGCTATAAAAGATTGATAAATTCAGCTACATAAAAAGCACCCAAAATTTGTCTATAGCAAAATATATCAGAAGCACAGTCAAAGAGTTTGCATCTCATAAGATAGGGCTAATATCCCTTTTACAAGAAGGACTCCTTCTTAAAGAAGGAAAGTTAATAGACAAAGTGGCAAAGGGCATGGTTATGCATTTCATAGGAAAAGAAATACAAATGGTCCTTAAGCATATAAAATGATGCCTGTACTCATTGTAAGAGAAAGGACAATGCATCCATGTTTTCTTTTAATACTTTTTGGGTTAATAAATAAATTCTTTGACTAAGCAATCTCACTTTTCGGAATCTATTTTACAGATGTACCTACACTTGTTTTAAAACAAACAAACAAATATATATATATATATATGTATGGTTATTCTTTGCAGTATTGCATGTAATAGTAAGAATTGGAAATAACCTAAATGTTTAGTAACAGAGGACTGGTTGAATACAACTTACAGCACAAGTTTTTCAATACTTCTGTCAAATGCCTACCAACATTTTTTCCAAATTTTATAACTTCTCAAATTGCCTGTCCCTTCCTTTCTTTTTCTTCTTAGAAATTTCTTTCATGCAGTTCTTGGTTCTCCTGCTTCTATTTGGATTGCATGATCTCTCTGGTCCTTTTGTGCATCTATAGTCTTGGGACTTTTCTTTACCTCTCTCCTGTGTTGCAGCCCGTTTCTTAGATCCCATGTCATCCTTTCTCGTAGTTAACGTCCTCGTTTTGATTCATTACATTCTCCAGCTGATTCCAGAGAAAAGATATGTTGTAGGTGTATTTTTTGAATCCTTGACTGTTTGAAAATGTTTTGTTCTACCCTCAGTTAATTGTAATTTATCTTGATATTTGCACCTATGCTGAAAATTATTCATTTGGAATTTGGAAAATATATGCCACTTTATCCTATCCAGAATCAAATTTGTAAAATACTGTTTGGCTATTTCCCCTCCATTTTACCTAATTATTTCTATTACTGGGGTTTTTACTATTCCTTTGCTATTTATGTTTGAGCTTTGTTTTTGTAAAGACAGGGACAAAAATCAAATTAAGATCCATTGCTTTCAAGTTTACTAGAAACAGAAACTATAAACTATAAACATTACCAGGAAAATGGAATTTTAAAGAGACATGCAAAATGCAAACACCAATTTGTTGTTTTCTGATTCTGCAGACAAAATTAACCCAGTTCTGTATTTATCTTGTCTTACTATGTCCGTGGACCACACTTTCAGCAGCAGTGGTGTAGGCTGCCTTCTTTAACTCATTTTTTACTGTATTTCTGAGATTCTTTCTGAGATCCTTTCCTGCTTGCCTTTGGAATTTAGAATTTCCTTTAGTGGGTGTGCTGGTCAAAAATGTTTAGTTTCATTTGTCTGAAAGTATCTTTATTTTACTTGGATCCTTATAAGAAATTTTCAATGACTACGCAATTATTATTCTTCAGCATCTTGAAAATACCTTTCTGCCGTATTTCTGAGAAGTCACCTATTATTGTTGTTAAGGGCCAAATGAATGTATATTTAAAGTATTATTATTGATTAACCTAAATATCTTCTTGTATTTTTCTCTTACAGGGAATACAGTGAGTAACCTGATTATGATCATACCTCCAATTTTTGGCGCAATTCAGAGTGTTAGAGATGGTCTGGAAAAACGGTACATTGCTTCTTATTTAGCACTCACAGGTATGTATAACGTTTCATTTGAAAAAATGATGTACAGTATTCAAATGGGCTGTTTTTCTCATTCATTTCTAAAAGCAGTTCTCAATTTTGTCTTCTTTATTACACAACTTGAACATATTCTGAAACTTCTTAGTAAAAATTCCAGACTGACCAGGCACTGTAGTTCACATCTATAATCCCAGCACTTTGGAAGGCCGAGGCGGGAAGATTGCTTGAGGCCAGGAGTTTGAGACCAGCTTAGGTAACACGAGGCCCTGTCTCTATAAAAAATTTTAAAAATTAGCCTTGTGTGATGGTGCACAACTGTAGTCCTAGCTACTTGGGAGGCTGAGGCAGGAGGATCACTTGAGCCTAGGAGTTGGAGGGTGCAGTGAACTGTGATCATACCACTACATTCCACTCCAGCCTGGGTAACAGAACTAAACCCTGTCTCACAAAACAAAACAAAACAAAACAAACCACCAACAAAAAAACTTCCGCAAAGCTTGCCAGTAAATTAAACTGCATTTTGAATAAATTTTTTTAGAAATTACAAAATATTTCAAGCATACAGAACAGAATAGAGATAATATAACAAACACACCCACATTTCTTACCACCCGTCTTTGTCAGGTCTGAACAGTTTGTAATGTTTATTTCAGACTTTTTTTTAAAGAAAATAAACTACTATAGATAAACTTGATTTTATCCCCCTCGACCTCCTAGCATTCCCCCCTCAGCTAACCTCTATTCTGAATTTGACGTTTATCATTTTCTCACATTTTTTTGTGTTTATACTACATATGTATGTATCCTTAAATGTATATTTAGTATGGTTTTGCATAGTTTTAAACTTTTTAGAAAGGATACCATCTAACCTTTTGCAACTTACTTATATTCTTATATAAAATATACAAGGTTACCCACTGTATTCCCTGTAAGAGAAAAATACAAGAAGATATTTAGGTTAATCAGTAATATTACCTTAAATAAAGATACATTCATTTGGCCCTTAACAATAATTAATAGGTGACTTCTCAGAAAGATGGTGGAAAGATATTTTTAAGGTGCTGAAGAAAAATAATTCTGTAATCAGAATCTACAAAGAAATCAACAAGAAAAATATCAAACAAACCCATCAAAAAGTGGGTAAAAGACACGAACAGAAGCTTTTCAAAAGAAGATAGACAAATGGCCAATAAACGTATGAAAAAAATGCTCAACATCACTAGTCATCAGGGAAATGCAATTAAAACCACAATGAGATATTACCTTACCCCTGTTAGAATGGCTTTTATTAAAAAGTCCAAAAATGATAGATGCTAGTGTAGGTGCAGAGAGAAAGGAACACTTATACACTCTTGGTGGGACTGCAAACTAGTAACAACATCTACGGAAAATGTATGGAGATACCTCAAAGAACTAAAAGTAGACCTACCATTTCAGCCAGCAATCCTACTACTGTGCATTTACCCAAAGGAAAGGAAGTCATTTTATCAAAAAGACACCTACACTCAAATGTTTATTGCAGCACAATTCACATTTACAAAGATGTAGAATCAACTCAAGTGCCCATCAATTCATGAGTAGATTAATAACATGTAGTATATGTATACCATGGAATACTACTCAGCCGTGAAGAAGGATGACTTGATGGCTTTTGCAACAATTTTGGATAGAACTGAAGACCATTATCCTAAGTGAAGTATCTAAAGAATGGAAAAACAAATACCACATGTTCTCACTATTATATTGGAACTAATCGATGAGCACATCTGTGCATAGAGGAAAGTAAAACTTAACAGAACTCAAGTGAAGGGAGAAGGGGATGGGAGAAAACCTATCTAACAGGTACTATGAACACTATCTGGGTGATGGACACACTTATAATCATGACTCAAGCATTATAAAAGTGATTGATATAACCAAAAATATTTGTACCCCCATAATACTTTGAAATAAAAAAAAAAGAAAAACTATTCTGTAGTCACCAAAAATTTCTTACAAGAATTCAAGTAAAATAAAGATACCTCAGACAAATGAAACAAAAAGTTTTCCACCAGCACACCCATTAAAGGAAATTCTAAATTCCAAAGGCAAGCAGGAAAAGGATCTCAGAAAGAACCTCAGAGATAGAGTAAAAAATGAGGTAAAGAAGGCAGCCTGCACCAGTGGCTGCTGAAAGTGTGGTCCATGGACACAGTATGACAAGATAAATACAGAACTGGGTTAGTTTTGTCTGTAGAATCAGAAAACAACAAATTGATGTTTGCATTTTGCATGTCTCTTTAAAATTTCATTTTCCTGGTAATGTTTATAGTTTCTAGTTTCTGTTTCTAGTAAAACATGAAAACAATGGATCTTAATTTGATTTTTGCTCCTGTCTTGACAAAAACAAAGCTCAAACATGAATAGATGGATGAATCAACTTTACCAGAGCCTAAGATGGGGAAATCACGTCTGTCATATTCTTGTGTCATCATAATAAAAAAATAGCAAAGAAAGTGGATTCTTTCTACTAGTTTATTTCTTCTGTTGCTTCTTTTTTAAGTATGACTCACATGCCATATTTCTTTTTTATAACTCTAAATACAATTTCTTTTGTTTTAGCTCGTGGTGGATATTATTTCCACATGGACAGAAAAGACTTCTAGTGACCACAAAACTGTAAGCTGTAGGATAGCATCTCAGATTTTACCATAATTAGATTATTCATTAGATATGAGAGATTTTAATTTCACAATCTGTTACTCATATGATTACTCTTTTTCAGAAAGTTTAAAACTATGTTAAACCGTACTACATATACTTTTTAGGATGCGTACATATGGTAGTATAAACACAAAATGTGAGAAAATGGTAAGCGTCAAATTCAAAATAGAGGTTAGCTGGTGGGGAGGTGCTGGTAGGTTGAGTGATATAAAATCAAGTTTAACTATAGTAGTTTATTTCTTTAAAAAAGAAAAAGATCTAAAATTGATGTTTATTTCTTATTTAAAAATAATTTGAAGTCGGGCATGGTGGTTCACACCTGTAATCCCAGCACTTTGGGAGGCCAAGGCCGGAGGACTGCTTGAGGCCAGGAGTTCAAGACCAGCCTCGACAACATAGTGAGACCCCCCCCTACCTCTACAGAAAAATTAAAAATAAAATCAGCCAGGCATGATGCCATGTGCCTGTAGTCCTAGCTACTTGGGAGGCTGAGTCAGGAGAATTGCTTAGCCTATGAGTTTGAGGCTGCAGTGAGCCATGATCACACCACTGCAGTCCAGCTTGGGTGACAGAGCAAGACCCTGTCTCTTAAAAAAAAAAAAAAAAAAAAGATCTTACTGAAACAAAAGAATTACAAAACACATCAACCCCTCCTGCCTTCAGCCCCCAAAACTATACACATACCCATATATACATATATGTGTGTGTATATATACCTATTCTGACAAAAGGGAGCAATGTTAAACTAGGAATCTTTTTTTTTGACATTCACAAAAAATCACCTTTTTATTTATGTCAAAAGCAAGATAATGATCAGACTAGTAATTTTTTTTTTAGGACAGAGTCTTACTCTGTCACCTAGGCTAGAGTGCAGTGGCATCGTTATAGCTCACTGCAACCTCAGACTCTGGGCTCAAGTGATATTCCTGCCTCAGCCTCCCGAGTAGCTGTGACTACAGGCACGCACCACCATGCCCAGCTCATTTTTTAATTTTTTTGTAGAGATGGGGGCCCCACTCTTTCTCAGACTGGTCTCAAAAGGGGAAACCAACCAAATCAGAATATCAAAATGACAGATAAAGAATTCCAAATATGGATTATAAGTAAGCTCAACAAAATACAAGAGGAAATGGAAAACCAACACAAACTACCCCCCCCCAAATTTAGGAAATGTATGAAAAATTCACTAAAGAAATTGAATTATTAAAAAAAAAATCAAACAGAACTTCTGGAAATGAAAAATTCATTCAAGGAAATGCAAACACAGTGGAAAGTCTTAAGAATAGACTAAAACAGGCAAAAGAAAATCTCAGAGCTTGAAGACAACACCTTTGAATTAAACAAGTCAGTGAAAGATGAAGAACAGAGAATTAAGAGGCAGGAACAAAGCCTACAAGAAATGTGGGAGTATGTTAGGAGGCCAATCATAAGAATTATAGGCATCCCTGAGGGTGAGGAAGAAAACACACAAGGGTTGGAAAACCTATTTGAGGGAATAATTGAGGAAAACTTCCCTGGTCTTGCTAGAAATTTAGATATCTAGCTACCAGAAACTCAAAGAGCACCTGAGAGAATCATCACAAAGAGGCAATCACCACGACAGATATTCATCAGATTAGCCAAAGTTAACACGAAGGAGGAACTCCTGCAAGCTGTAGGGTGAGAACATCAGGTAACTTACAAAGGAAAACCCATTGGGCTAACTGCAGACTGAGATCTTAGAAGCCAGAAGGGCTCGGTGCCCCATCTTTAGTCTTCTTAAACAGAATAATGGCCAGCCTAGAATTTTGTATCCTGCAAAACTAAATTTCTTATATGAGGGAGAAATAAAGACTTTTCAGACAAGCAAACACTGAGGGAATTTGTCAAGAACAGACCTCCCTTGCAGGAAGTACTTAGATGAGCATTATATGTCAATCAGCACAATAGAAACCCACCAGTATAAAATCACCCAAAAGCTAAAGTTCAGAGCCCATATAAAATACTAGCTCAAGAGGTAAAACAAAGCCACAAGCTTCTCCCAAACAGGATGAACAGAAATGCATCCTACTTATCAATTGTTTCCATAAATGTGAATGGCTTGAATTGCCCACAAAAGAGACATAGGCTAGCTGAATGGATAAAAAAAATACAAGCCAAGTATCTGCTGTCTCCAGAAAACACATCTAACCCACAGATACTCATTCAGACTCAAGGTGATGGGAAAAAAAATTCCATGTAAATGGAAATCAAAAGAAAGCAGGTGTAGCCATTCTCATATCAGATAACATATATTTCAAATCAATAATGGTTAAGAAAGGCAAAGACGG